AATGTTACTGTTTATGGTAATAATTAATGAGGACTATAGCCATGTATGTACTGAAAGTACTTTAGTATTCCTCAGTTATGATCTGATGGATGAGTTCAAGAATAAGTAGAAGAATGAGTGATAACCACATCACCAACCAATAGGTCACAGAATATAACATATTCTTGTATTGTGTTGTACTCTATAGAGTCTATAGTATAGACCATAACAGAGTCTCTGTGAAGAGGTCTCTGATCAGTGGAACTGTGTTTAAGAAGTATTGGTGACCAATGAGTGTGTGATATATAGTGTGGTTATGTATGGACTGATCCAAATGGATCCCAAGAGTGCAATCTAAGCGAATGTTTGCAGAAATAACGTCCCATTCATTGGTTGATAAAGTGATGGACTGTTTGTGTGAATCAGTCATTCATTGCATTCACAATACCCTTGAATTGAATGCATTTTTAGTGAAAACATTTAAATGACAGTCAATTGGTTTGCATTGGGTTTGGATTATCTCTAATCAGTGATAATATGGCGAATCATTTGCGACTATTTAGACACCAATTGATCGGTAAGTGGATCCATGTGTTGGTCACTCATGTGGTGTCCATTTGAATGTATTTGCAATGAATTGAATACTAATTGAAAGCCGAATGCAAAGGAAATGTCTTCAGACTTTGACCTTTGGTTTGATTAGCTGTTGACAAGTGTTGACTATATCTGCAAACCATTCACTTATTTGTCTCTTTTGTCGCCCATTAGTGCAAAACGTGTCGTCCATTCGACACAACTATACCTCAACCAGAAATGCGCTGAAGATTGGGAGTGAGACGAAAGTGATATGCCAGGGCATCACTGGTAAGCAGGGCACTTTCCACTCGAAACAGGCCATCGAGTACGGCACCAGAATGGTCGCAGGGGTGTCACCCGGCAAAGGGGGTCAGACACACCTCAATCTTCCCGTCTTCAACACTGTCCGAGAGGTAGGCATTGCAGTGATGACCACCACATCCACCAAACCATACCTCACACACAGTATAGCTTCACAACAATATGTAGTTTTGTTGCGGTTATCGACTGAACAGTCTTTAGCTTATCATTAGTTATCTAAGAAGTGCTTTATATGACCGATAAGTGTCTCGAAGTTTATAACAATTATTTATGATTTCCTTAGGATTTATCGGT